GCGCTGCTGAAGCACGTGCCCATGTCATGTCAGACCATTTTTTGTGTTCTGCCCAAATTGAAACCCAGGACATAAGCAGCCCAACTACAAACTCAAGTCTTCCCCTTATAGCTACAGACGTGCTTTTCCTTGGCTAACCGATGTGCCCTTCTGCTATACAGCTCCAAGAGGGCCGGCTGTGAAGTTGTACACACTTACACGCTTGGCTCTGCCCTCCTGCACAGGTTACATCTTTCTCTTCCTCCCTCCCCAGCAGCAGAGAGCTCTGGAGCCTGGTGCTTCACCCGCAAAGAAACTGCTCTGTAATCAGCATTGTCAGCTCTTGCAGATTTGTCACTGGCCCCGAGATACCTCACACTGCCTTGCAAAACTCCAGTTCCTGATGTCAGATAACAAAATGGGAAATTCCACTTTTATCTAAAATAATACGTTTCTGGTCTTGTGGGTTGCAGTGAGAAGCTAGAGGCCTCGAGACTGAAGGGCCTCTCCCAACAGAAGGGCAAGCTAAAATTGTCATGAAAAGGGCAAAAATCCCTCTACCTTTATCACGTTAAGAAATCTTCTCTTTCTGAGCCAGTACCTCTTTCTGTACCACAAGTTTCAGGAGCATGAAGGGGCTCTGACTCATGGTTTATAAGTGCCAGGGTTGGACTCCACAAGGCAGGGGATTTCTGTGCTCTCCAATGGCAGCCCTGCTGCGGGCAGGGTCATGGCATGAGGAGCAAACACAGCCTCGCTTCCAGTACCAGCCTGCCCATTTGCTCATGCTTAGCACCAGGGTGCTGGCATCTGCAGCACATGCTGGAGGATGAGGGCTTGTCTCTGATAGGGACTCCTTTGGAAGAAACATGGAGTAAGGGATGCTGCAGTTGGTGGCTAGGGCAGCTCAGGCCACCTGCTGCATCGTGCTGCATGTATGTGGAAGCTGTCACGGGGCTGGGTGGAGGAGCTGGGTGATTGGGTCATTGAGGTCACTGTCAGTCACTCTTTGTATTGTCCAGAGGTTCTCTGATCCCACTGAGGAGAAGAAGAATGCACAAAATAGCTGCTCGCTCTGCAGAAACCTGTAGCAATTTGCTGGGGTGGATTCCCAGAAGCATAATAAGAGGTAGCACTGCAGAGGACAGTCTGTCTTGTAGATGCGGTGTTGATAAGGAATCCTTTGGTTTGGGAAGGGGAATTTCAAATTTTGTTAGAGGTTTTCATGTTCCTTATTAATGGCTCTCTCCAGTTGGCCCTTCTGGGAAATCTGCCAGAGAGCCATGAAATCGGTGGGGTCAGATAAGGAACTTCTGTAGCTGTTGTTGACTGAGATGCGTATGGCAGGGCTAATGCAATCCTGAGAGGCTGCAGCCAGAAATGTGCAGCTGCAGAGCGCTCTGCATCCCTTGCCTTGTAGCCTCTGTCAGTCCTGGAGGTGCCCAGCTCCTCAGTGTGCAGAGGAGGGGATGAAGGACTGAGTGCCTTTCCTTTCCTCTGACACTTGGTGATGCTGACGTTGCCCACTCGTCATGTGGGGCGAGCGGGAGGCATGGGGCAGGAGTGTGAGCCTGCACTGTCATCCCCTGCAGAAACACAGCAGGCACAGAGCCATGTGCCGGGGCTCATTCAGGGAATGGTGTTCGGGTGTACGCTGTGAGCATTTCATTGCTGGAGCCTTGCCAGGCAGGGTGGTGCTGCCTGACAGAGAGGAGACCCAGTGCTGTGTTGGATAAAGGTGATAAAGGTGGCCAGCCCTTCAGGCTCTAATCCAGTATCCTCTCTTGGCTTTTAGATTCGTTAGAAGAAATAAATCGAAAAATAGCCTTCTGGGAGGCGTAGCGAGGTTTGAAGTGCGTTGCGGAGGCACGCTGGAGCTGTGCACGAGAAATGCACATCCTGAGCTCCAGCGAGCAATGCCTCCGGGACCAGAGTACACCCAGATGGTGACTCCTCCGAGTGATTATTTTTCTGCCTTAAGCCTTTCCAGGAATTTGTGTGGGCAGGCTGCCAGCGGACAAGGACTATGCAGAGACTTTAGCAATGCTCCCTGTGTACGAGCTGCCAGAGATACCGAAGTCCAGCTGCTGTCTCTGATCTCTTTGTCCTCTTTACCTTCCAAGCCATAATTGCACACGCATGCACGCACACTCTTGTGCAGCACATACACAAAGCGGGAGCAAAAAATCTCCTGGTGCTAGCTGCTGTTCTGCATATCTTGCAAGTCACGATCGACAGCTCTGAAATTAGAGAGAAGGGAAATCTCCAGAGTCAGAAAAACAACTCGGATCCCCCAAAAAAGCACACAAATAATAAACTGCGTGTCATACCTCAGAGGGCAGTGTTCATTTTTCTGGGGCAGCCAGCTAGGAAGCATTTAACCATGCCCTGTACCTCTTGCCTTGGAGGCGCTTTAATCTTGCTTGCAGAGCACAGTCAGGCCTGTGTTATCTTTGCTGCTGCTGCTGCTGGAACTGGAATTATGCTGAAAACTTACCACTTCACTTTTAAGTCTTGGAGCAGAGATAGACTGCTTTCTGCTGCACATTTGCATTTCTGCACATCCCATCCTGTGTCTGTTGGAGTTCAAAGTGGAACCATGAGGTAGTGGGGCTTGGAAAAGTGGGGCAGCCTTCACAGCTGCCTCCTCCTCTGCCTCCATTAGGCTTGCTCATTCCTCCTGTGCTCTGTGGGAGATGTGGGGTAGCCCTTTTGTCACCCGTGATGATGAAAAGAGCCGTATGAAAGACTCGCAAAAGAAAAAAATGGAAGAATTAGCTCATGGTATTCTTGAAGAACGTCAGCATTGGCTTTGGGGACTACCCAGAACTCGTCGGTTCCATCCTATTCATCAGAAAAAAACCTTTGCTTCGGCTCCCACAAAGCAAAGCTTCCCCGGGTGTCACGCAGCTCTGTACTAGCAGTTTCGATGTGGAAAAATCGGAATCCGTGTGCCTCCACCTGTTGCAATGACTGGTGTGGGGCTGGCCGGCTCATCCACCACTGCCAAAGGAGCTGGCCGTGCTCAGCCCCACGCTCAGGCTCCCTTTCAGCTGCCCAGCCCTGAACTGCTGACTGATCCACCAGCCTGATCGCCCCGGGCGGGAGGCTACAGTGAGCTAAACTTAACTAAGGATGACTGCGCAAATGTGAGCTCGGCGATTTTATTTTTAGTCGGACGTAAAAATAAAAATCCGTAAGTCATGTGTAAGATAATAATTTCAGCTGTTGCCAAGACGCAGCGAGCAATTGCGAGGAGGAGGGGAAGGCCTGTGCTGGTGGCAGGGCCTGCTCCCGGCTGCCCATGCCCGAGGGGTCAAAGCAGACCAGAGCTCTGGGTATCACTGGCTCTTTCTCTCAGGAGGCTGCCCCAAGTTCAGGTGAACTTCCTTCTGTCCTCCCTCTGTCCGAATGCTGAGAATCTGCCCCAGAATGTAGGTCCTTTCGGCAGCCTGGTCCCAAACCTACAGCTCATGTTTCTCTGGTTTCTCAACTCGAGGTTCAATCCAGCGCTGATCTGTGGCACCTGTGGAGTGGGTGAAGGCAAAACCACAGGCTGTTTTTGTAGGGTCTCTGTGGCTATTGCTGTTAGCTCTGTTTTTAACATATGGAAAAAATAACTTGAGATAAATTGTATCAAACCGTTGGATGCTTTGGGCTTCTGATGAATTATGGCAGGTTGGAGAACCACAGTTGTAAAGAATGCTCTTAAAGATAGGTTTCACCTTAACCTGGTATGTCTTCAAAGCACTGTGTGCACTTACAGACATCAGGCTTGTTGTTCATTAGGAGTGAGGCAATAGGAATGGAAATCTCCCAAAGGAATATTATTTGCCATGAGATAGTTATCATTTCTGTTGCTCGGCATTAAGTGGCTCATATCCAATTTCCATCTTCTTTCTCCCTTTTTCTTTCACATAATGCACACTTTTCTTGCAAGAATGCCTGTCAAGTATAAGCACTCGTGCTCGCAGCTCCTTCCAGGCAGCCAGAAGCACATCTAGAAAGCCAGGAACAGTGTCTGGGAACTGTCCCTTTCCCTAAAGTGTATTGCTGCTGTCAGGCAGGTAGGGGAGGGCTGTCGGGTTTTCTTTCAAAGTGTGACATGATTCAGTTGTGAAGTTTTCCCTATAATATGGAGTAAGGACCTGACTTTGCCCTTCTTGACTTGGGGTGGGTGAATGTGATGCAGAGCAGATAGGTGGTTTTGCTCCAACCCCTACAATATCCTGAGCTTTTACCACTGTGGGGGCTCTCAGTTGGGGTCAGGAAGACATGGATGCGCTTTCCCAAATGAGGCATCTCTGGGGCCAAGTTTGTAGAGTCATGGAATCACAGAATGGCTTGGGTTGGAACGGACCTTAAAGATCATCTAGTTCCAAACCTTTATCATGGGGAGGGTTGCCACCCATCAGATCAGGCTGCCCAGGGCCTCAAACACCTCAAGGGATGGAGTTTGCTCAGCTTTACCTTCTCCTTCCTGGAGCGTCTTTGGGCTGCCCACAGCCTCCTTGGTCCAGCAGCAGTGCTGCATTTGAGGGCTCTGCAGTAGCCACCTTCCCTCCACTCCGTGCACAGCTTCCAGCTGCTATGCAAATATTGTGCAGGAGGTCACCGGAGGTTCCCAGGCGTTTTAGGACATGGTAGTGTGAATGCAATGCTGTTGTTGCAGGGAAAGGAAAGAATGGAAGGGTGAACCTTGAAGGTGCAGTGGGAAGGAAGTGAGCCTCTGAGTCACAGGGAGATAAATCTGACACCTTATGGTGTCAGAGAGTTTCCGACCTGCCTGAAGTTCTAATTGTTTTCAGAATGTGCTAACAGATGTGCGCAGAATCTTAGCTGCTGTTTTACAGCACAGCTGTCCACTGCTCCTTGGGATGAGAGCAACAATGACCAGCTGAGTTGGCATTCCACCTTTTTTCTCTTTCTTAAGTGCTGGTTTGAGACGTCAGGTTTTTTGTCCCCATTCCCCAGTGCTGACATTGTGATTTCGCCCTTCCTCACCCACCCTTTCGTTGCAGAATCCAGAGGAGCCGTTGGAGAATCGTGCTCACGGGGAGATGATTCCTCATGAAGTCACTGGATCCCTTGCAGAAATCAAATGTGACTTTCCATTTATCAGACTGAAATCAGAGCCAGCCAGACAGTGAAGCAAGCACAGTGGAGGGGGGACGGCGAAAGATGAAATCCAACCAAGAGCGGAGCAATGAATGCCTGCCGCCCAAGAAGCGAGAGATCCCCGCCACCAGCCTGCCTTCGGAGGTGAAGCCGGTCCTGCCGAATGACAACCACCGCACGGACAACCTAGCATGGCTCCCCGGCAGTCAGAGCAGCCTCGGGGGCAGGCACAGGCCCGGGGGAACGTCGGCGGAGGTGGGCTTGCAGCAGGGCCTGCACAAGCCGCCGCCGGCGGGGCTGGACTATTCCCCACCGAGCGCGCCCAGGTCGGTGCCGGCCCCCACTACGCTCCCCACCGTGTACTCGTCCGCACTCTCCCAGTCCGGGACCCCCGTCTCCCCTGTGCAGTACACGCACCTGCAGCACACGTTCCAGTTTGTCGGGCCCCAGTACAGCGGACCATATGCAGGGTTCATCCCCTCGCAGCTGATCTCTCCGACCGCCAATTCAGCAACCGGCGCCGTTGCGGCGGCCACAGCTGTCGCGACCACTCCATCCCAGCGCTCCCAGCTGGAGGCTTATTCCACGTTGCTGGCCAGCATGAGCGGCTTAAGCCAGCAGGGGCACAAAGTCGAGCCGCACCTGGTTAGAACGCCTGGACTGATCGCTGCAGGGTCTCCTCCACCTGCCCAGCAGAACCAGTACGTCCACATCTCCAGCTCTCCCCAGAGCGCGGTCAGAAACGTCTCTCCTCCAACCATCCCGGTCCCCCTGCATCCCCACCAGACGGTGATCCCCCACACACTCACCCTTGGCCCCTCCTCCCAGGTTGTGGTGCAGTACAGTGATGCCTCGCACTTTGTCACAAGGGATGCCCCCAAGAAGCCCGAGAGCGGCCGGCTGCAGGCCATGCAGGCCAAGGAGGTGCTGAACGGCGAGATAGAGAAGAGCCGGAGGTACGGCATTTCGCCCTCTGCCGACATGGGTCTGGTCAAAGCAGGCAATAAACCAGCTCCTCACCATTACGAGACCAGGCACGTGGTGGTGCACTCGGGCCCTGCCGACTACGGTGCCCGGGAGTCCTCAGGGGTCCGAGCCTCCGTCATGGTGGTCCCCAACAGCAGCACGCCAACCGCGGACTTGGAGGTGCAGCAGGCCACCAATCGAGAGAACTCTCCCTCAGCCCTCAACGACAAGGGAAGCTTGCACTTAGGAAAGCCAACCCACCGCTCTTATGCTTTGTCCCCGCAGCAGGCCCTGGGCCACGAGGGGGTGAAGGCCGTGGCCACGCTGTCCCCCCACACCGTCATCCAGACGACCCACAGCGCCTCCGAGCAGCTCCCGGTGGGGCTGCCGGCCACAGCCTTCTACGCCGGGACCCAGCCGCCGGTGATCGGCTACCTGAGCAGCCAGCAGCAAGCGCTGGGGTACCCTGGGGGGCTGCCCCAGCACCTGGTGATCCCTGGCACGCAGCCTCTGCTCATACCGGTCGGCAGCGCCGACGTCGAGCCGTCGGGCGTCGCGCCGGCCATTGTCACCTCGTCTCCCCAGTTCGCAGCAGTGCCTCACACGTTTGTCACCACCGCTGTCCCCAAGAGCGAGGCTTTCAGCGCCGAGCCCCACACCACCCAGCCCGCCTACCAGGCCACCATGGTGCAGGCGCAGATCCACCTCCCCGTGGTGCAGTCCATCGCGTCCCCCGCTGCGGCCCCCCCCACGCTGCCCCCCTACTTCATGAAGGGGTCAATCATCCAGCTGGCCAACGGGGAGCTGAAGAAAGTAGAGGACTTAAAAACAGAAGATTTCATACAGAGCGCGGAAATTAGCAATGACCTGAAAATAGACTCCAGCACTGTGGAGAGGATCGAAGAGAGCCATAACCCAGGCATTGCTGTGATACAGTTTGCGGTTGGAGAGCATCGAGCACAGGTAACAGCGACACGGGGCGGGGAGTTGGGAGAGTAACAGGGGCACCTCAGTGAGCCCCAGCTGCTTCAGATCTGCCCAGGGTAGTTTTTCAACCTTCACATCCCTCTGTAAGGCTGGCTCTGGCCCCAAAACCACCTGTCTCACAGTGCTAGTGAAGCCATCAGGGTCACACTGATGACAGGCGTAGTTTCTTGGATATAAAATGGGATATCTATGACTTCCTGAGGGACCAGCCTGCCCTCTTGTCTTACACCCAGGTTAAAATGTTATGGGATGACTCTCAGTGCCTTTATTAGTCCAAGGGAAGCATTTACACGCTCGCTGGGTATGATCAGCACAGGAAATCCCAGCAGTGTCATAGTACTCAAGGCAGTACCACCTGAGGCCCCAGCCTGTCTGCACCCAGCACTGCTCAAACACACAGTGAGGAAAAAAACCTGTCCTGACATCATGAAAAACCAGTCTGAGATTAGGGGCAAACCAAGACACTGGGCAGAAAGAGATTTGCCAAAGTACAGTCATGCAGTGTGTCACTGTCAGAGCCAAGGCACATGGGTGGATCTGCTGCCACCCATGGGCCTACCCCAAGGTCTTCATTGCCTGGTCAGGATTTGGTATAAATTCTGCTGTATTTTATAGCTCAAGAACCCGTAGGAGAAATTGCATGATCTTTGTGGGTTTTTACTAAAATACAAAATAAGTTCAGCAGTATGAGGGGCTGTTTTGCATTCTCAGAGGTGATTTCAACCATACACTCCAGAAAGCTCTGGGTAGATTCAGCACAAATCCTAGCCTTGAGCAAGAGGTAGGGCACAAGGCTGTGAATTTCCATGGCTGAGAGACAGCTTGGAGCTGTCTGGGAACACATCCACTCACACACGTAAGTTACTGAAACACTACAGAGTTGTACCAAGGCTTCAGCTGCGGATGGTTTAAACACTGCACAGCTCACATAAACTGTGTGTTCAAGGGAAGTTTGGAAAGAAAAACCATTGAGGTGGCCGGGCAGGCTGTGCTTCTGAACTTTGTATCTCACTGGTTTCCAGGACAGGAAAAATCCTGTAACTTTCCAAAGTAACTCTTACAATAAGATGGTAACTGATCACAAAGCAGTATCTTACTACTGTTCGTTTTCTGAGCAATTGAGGTGCTGTTCTATTGAGGCTGGGGCAGATTAGATGAAAGGGGTATTATGATCCCTAGAGATGCTCGTTTAAAGTAACTTTGTTTCAAGTGCTTTGGGTTTGGTTTGGAACACAAGTGCTACAAAGGGCAGCACCCTGATGCTGCATCCTCAGAGGTGGATGCCCAGAGGGAGAGGGGAACTGGAAGGGGATGCAGGAAAGCACCTGTGACTGACAGTCTGGAGTATGAAAAGCAAAGAGATCTGATTCTGAGAATTAAAGCACACACACAGAATTCTTGTTCTCATAGAATCACAGAACAGCCTGAGTTGGAAGGGACTCACAACTGTCGTCGAGTCCAACTCCAAGTCAGTGTTCTATCCTTCCCAAACTACACAGATGACGGGGGAACCGATGCATGTGACACAGCCATGCATCATGTCAGTTGTGCAGATTCCCCATGTATTTTGTCTCTAGATGTGTGTGCATCACCCACTGGCCTGATAGAAAGATCAGCTTAGGGCCTTGGATGCCTTCGGGATAAGGACTGATTGTTTTTCATCTCTGAGCCGTATCGTGGCTCTCTCAGTGAGAGCTGCATACCACAGGCCCCATCAGTAGGAGCCTGTCCTTGGATCAGAACCAGTTCCTATGATTTGCCCCGGTGCCTTGAGTGGTGAGATTTCAGAAGCAGCGGTCTGCCCTCCACAGTGGTCACCTCGCTCTCATTTCTCTCCCTGCAGCAGAGCCTGGTCTCTGCGCCAGCAGGTAACGTTGTGTGTGATGGGCTGGTGGATGTGCTGGCACGGTGCAGTCCTTTGCAGAGGGCGGACTGCCATCCTCTGGCAGAATGCATGCTGGGTCCAGGGCTGCACAGACGCGCGCCGGGCTCATCCAGCAAAGTGTCACCTTATCCAGAAGCCTATCAGAAGCAGGCTGACATCATCGCAGCTGAAATACTCCCCAGCTGTGTTTCCCACGGGGGATGCTTCCAGAACTGAAGCGAGGGACAGTCACGCAGAGATATCATTAGCATGAGGGTTTAATTTCGGTTTCCTGCAGATCCCAGGGCTTGGGTCCCTTCCCAGATCAGCTGTGTCCCCGCACACAGGGACAGCCGTGCAGGTTTTCCCATGCCTGGCTGGAGAAAGGGAAGTGTTTCTACATTTGTGACCTTGCCCTCAGCCTAGCGTGGCTGTAGGAAGGCATTTAGCCTTATTAACAGGCATGTGGCACTCATTACACGTTAGAGAATTGCTCGTGTGAGGAGGGCTTAGTCTTCTTCCCATTGAAAAAAGGCTGTTCAGTCTGGCTGCTCAGGGCAGTGGCTCTGTGGTGCTGCTGCGCTCAGATCCGTGTTGATTCCCAAGTGCAGTGAGAATGCAGTGCATGCGTAGTTCAGCTTCCCAACATACTTTATTAAAGTCAGTTTCTCTTGCAGATATACTTCTGTAAAGAGGGACCTTTTAGAATGGTGTTATCAGGGGGACGTGAGTTGTAACGACTGAGTGCCGTACAAAAATAGCCTTGTTACCATTAGCTTCCGTTCATTTAAATACTCCTCCCAGCAATCTCTGGGAAGCCATCAGAATGCTGATGAACTCATCTTTTCAGACTCGATGCAAACATGAGCTAATTTCCACCCTGACTGAGGGACAGCAGTAGGAGGTTATTTTTAGCTGAGCGTATACAACTCTCACGCACACAGGGAGGCAGCATGCAGTTGCTATTGTACCACATCACCGCTGCTCCTTCCTAGCAAAGGGCTAGGGCAGAAGGAGGCCATCCTCCCACTCCCCCTCCACCAGGCGCCTTGCTATTCCCATCCTCTGCCAGGTGTGGAAGAGCAGAAGAGAATGAACCCACCTAAACCCACATGCTTCTTCGGTGAAACAGCTGTCCTTAGCCCTGAGAAATGTGATGTTTCCACTTCACAGCATCCCTGCTGCAGATGAATGAGAAGTGAAGCAAGTACCAAATGGATGAGAACCCAAAGTCCAGCTGTTATTCCCCTTGGATTTGCGTTGCCTAAAAAAGCGCTGTGAATCTGCATCTCTTTGTAATTGCACATCTTACCGTTACAATGACACATACATGCTCGTTACCTGTCCTCTCTTTTGCTGAAAGGAACAAGCAGAAGGCAGCAATGCACGTCCATTTGTGTTAAGGTTACAACACACTGGAGATGTAGAAGTTGTTCTCTGAAATGCTCACTTTCATCCCTGAGCTTCAGCTCCTAATCGTTTCTAAAGTACAACCTCAAAAGAAAAGATGAGCATTTGGGTCTTAGCTTTTCTTTCAAAAACAGAATAATAGATGTAAGAGGTGGAGAAGCCCACCTCTAGTTAGAGGTGTCAGTTTGATGCACCTTTTTTAGACTGACATCCAGTTTCCCTTAAATATCTCTGCACACACAAACCATTCTCTTTCGCCCATCTCTCTCCTTTTCTTGACCTTTGGCACAGACACAGGCACAGAAACAGAAGTGCTGGCCTGTTCACTGCAGCAGGTGGAGGTCTCTCCCACTCCTCCCTTATGTGATCTTTGTGTTGTGTTCCTGGACATGAGAATGTCCAAATCCTTACTTCTACTGGGCACCCTTTGCTTTAGCAGTCTTCTCAATGGTTGCTGCAGTGGGCCTTGCAATGCAAATTTCCGTGTTCTTCTGTGAAGACACTGTATCTGAAGAGCGGGGATGTTATTCCCTGTGCACCAGCTCCTCCTGCGCTCCGTGTGTCAGTGGTGCTCCAGCTCCAGCCTTTGCTTCCTGAGCAGTCTGAATTGCTCTCCATCAGCTGAGCGTGGCCGAGACATCATGCAATAAAGGGGCATAGGAAAGTGAGATATTCATTGAATGCACTGAAAAGTTTTGGGTGCTCTCACTGGTCATTGGGAAAAGTAACTTGACAGCAGAGCCCCGGGTGCTTGAAGAGGGGCCAGTGTTTTGGTTTCTTGCTTTATTGTCTTAGTAGCCAGAAAGGCACAGAAAGGAATTCCAAATTTCTTTGACCCTTACAATAACGATGTCAAGATATCAGGAGAAGAAGCTTTTGGAATTAACTTCTCTCGTGCCAGGAGAGAATGATGGGGGAGGTGTTTCTTCTGAACTTTCACACTTAAAGTTCTTTGACTGCTATCACTAGTAGAGAATGGTGATATTAGAAGTCAGTTGAGCAGAATCCACACATAGCTAGAATCAAATCATAGAATCATAGAATGGCCTGGATTGAAAAGGACCACAATGATCATCTCGTTTCAACCTCCCTGCTATGTGCAGGGCCACCAGCCACCAGACCAGGCTGCCCAGAGCCACATCCAGCTAGCTAGAACAGTGCTTAATAGCGAATGAGGAAACACATTCCAGATCAATAGATGCCCATGAGCACTATGACTGGGTCATGGAGATTCTGGCATTGGTCATCATCTTTATTATTTAGCATTGTTCATGATCACCACCACCAAAGTGGCTGTTTGTTTCTGGGACTCACAGTTCAGGCATGTGTTTTTATGCCATGTAAAACAGAAGCACTGCAAGCTGTGAAAGCATGTTCACATCAAGAGGAACTTGTGTGTTACTGAGTGTAATGCACTCAGTATGCATGTAAGGCATGGATGATACCCATAATACACATTGCTTTTGATGGCGTGGGGAAAGTATAAAAAGGAAAAAAAATATATAGCAAACAGGAAGGAGAAGAGGAAGAGAAAAACTATAGCAAGTAAACGAGAAATCTGCATTCATTAGGAAAGCCTACAGCTCTGTTTGGACAGTGGGTTCCATTTAAATCCAGAAGAGATGTCTTTGGAATAGGATCTCAAACTTGGGGCAGATGTTTCTATATTGGACAGGTGGAGCATCAAGACAATTGATCGATTGGCCCAGTCATGAAGATTGTAGCATATATTTATAGATTTTTTTTAAAGGGTTTTTTGTTTTTTTTTCCATCATGGAATGACCTGTCTCATGAATTGCAGTTGTCTGCTAGGGCAGAGAGTGGGTTTAATCTGTCAAAAGCCACGAGGAATGTTTGATGTTCATGATCTGATGGTTCTGCTGTATGGGACATCCCACATCCAGCCCTCCTGCCAAGGGGGGTGAGGTGCACAGGGAGCTGCCTGGGGTCCTGTTTGCAGGCGGGTGCTTCTGGGGGAGCGGCACCAGTGGGGAGGGGAGCAGAGCTACCAGGTGCTGCTAACCAGGAGCCCTTGGGATGCGTTAGGCTCTGTCCTGTAGGCCATGAGTCAGAGGAGCCCACATCCACCGTCTGAGCCCACGGACAGGCACGGCACAAAGATCAGAGGGTATTTGGGTGCTATATCTTGTTAGCCCTATGATCCACTGTGAGCAGGGTCGTGGAGCGGCAGGCACCTGCTGCTGGTCTGCTCTCCTGGATATCGCAGCTGCCTGTATGGTGGTGAGGTGTGACCCAGAGCCATGCATGTTTTGAAAGTGGGGTGAAGTGGAGACTGATAGGGCTGGACTGAGCAGTGAAATCAAGAAAGATGCTTTTCATAGGTAATAATCACTGCTGCTACAGACACAGCTCTGCGCACACCTGTGGCCTTTCCTTGTAAATCAACATCTTCAGCCATTTCATGTTGGTAAGTACGCAGCTGCGTGGGCAGAGGCCAAAAAGGAGAGGTGACATTCCCGTGGTCATTTAGGGAATCACATGTTGGAACTGGGAATAGAGCCTCTTCCAGCTAAGGGAGCCATCCTCTGGCTGGAACGTATTGGCAAGCATGGGCTAGAGGCTGAGGTACCACGAGGGCACGGCAGGGAGCAGAATTTGTTAGCTGCCAAAACTGTTTTGCCTCCTGGGTTCCTGTGAGCAGCTGGATAGAGGTAAAGATCGATTCCTGTTGAGGTTTTGTGTTAAGTGCTGAACTCAGGGAGTCAACACCCGTCAGAGAGTTAACACCCATCTGACAAGGACAAGCCTGAAGTCTGGTGCGCCATGTGCAGATTTCACAGAAGCCAAATGGCAGCGGCACAATCCCTGCTTGACTCTCACCAGTGACAACTGCTGGCCGCTGCGCATGTGCGCCAAGGCAAAGGGCCCGTCTGACACTCTCTCCTCTCTCCCTCTCTCTCTGCTGTCTCCTCTTTCTGCAGGTCAGCGTGGAGGTCTTGGTAGAATACCCTTTTTTTGTATTTGGACAAGGCTGGTCATCCTGCTGCCCCGAGAGAACCAGCCAGCTCTTTGATTTGCCATGCTCCAAACTCTCAGTGGGGGACGTCTGCATATCGCTTACGCTCAAGAACCTGAAGAACGGCTCTATTAAAAAGGGCCAGCCCGTGGACTCAGCTAGCATCTTGCTGAAGCATTCAAAGAATGACAGTCTAGCTGGAAGTAGACACAGGTATGCGGAGCAGGAAAATGGGATTAATCAGGGAAGTGCACAGATGTTAGCTGAGAATGGTGAACTGAAGTTTCCGGACAAAATAGGATTGCCTGCAGCACCTTTGCTCACCAAAACAGAACCCAGCAAGCCCCCGGCAACAAGGAAGAGAAGGTGGTCAGCCCCCGAATCGCGGAAACTAGAGAAATCAGAAGAGGAGCCACCTTTGACTCTTCCCAAGCCTTCTTTTATTCCTCAGGAGGTTAAGATTTGCATTGAAGGTCGATCCAATGTAGGAAAGTAAATGTTGTTTGGGGAAAGGAAATTAGGCTATCCCTTGTCATTTTTATCCAGATTACTGTACTGTAGACTAAATAACCCAGTATTTACATGTTATCATCTTATTTTAGGTTTATGTTATAACCTTGTTGTTATAGTTGCAGCTGGTATTATGCAGGAGACTGGTGCATATGTTTTTCCACAAGTGTTTGTCAGTGACTAGGTTTCCTGAGAGCTACAGAAGGGGCAGTATCTGCTTCACACACCCTTAGTGGAAATGAATGTGTTGTCATGGCTCCTGTTTTCTAACACCTCGTGTAGGACAGGGTCCAGCTGTGATTCTGTTGGGGTTTTTTTTGTTGTTGTTTTTTGTTTTGTTTTTTTTTCCCTTGTTTTGGTTCCTGTTCCAGTTTTTTGGGGGGGAGGTGCGGAGAAGGGAACTGTAGCAGAGGCGTGTGTCACGCGTGGTGTGCGTGTCATGTGTGCTGTGCATGTGTCACGCGTGGTGTGCGTGCTCAGCCTCAGGCAGCCCTGCAGCAGTGGGGGCTCGTGAGGAGGTTTTTCTCACCCCGGGTGAATGTGGAGGACACAGCCCCACAGATGTTACCAAAAAGGATCAGATGCTGTCTGACCTTGTCAACAATAAGCCAACTCTTACTCAAGATTCATAGTATATATATGTACACATATATGTGCATGTATATATATATATGTATATATATATATTTGTGTGTGTGTGTGTATCTGTACATATATATTTCCCCCATGGGGTCCGACTGCACTGATTTTTACTCGCGAAGCAACTGCCACACCAACATTTCCTTCTGCTTGCTCGTGCAGTTCGTTGCCAGAGGCCATGCACACACACACACACACACACGGGGTGGCTGTTCTGCACCATTCACCCTGCAGGGCTGCCTGGTGGCATGGCTGTGTGTGAGTGTGCGCAGGTGTGTGTGGGTGCAGGGAGCCTCAGGCTGGGCGATGTGCCCGGCTCAGGCTCGCTCCTGTTTCTGTGCAGTGTTAGACGCATCGGTCAGGTTATGCCATGGACATTTGCTTCCACGAGGGAGATGCATACTGCCCCTTTGAGATCACAGGCACACGTCGTTTGCAGTTAGGTTGCAGATCTCGGTCTTTAACTCTATAGTACTGTTTTTTGGTTCATGATTATGGACAACCGGTGCCACTTTTTTCAAGTTTCAGTGTGACACAGGAACCCGATGTTGAAGAGGAACGTAGAATGTCTTTAAGCACTTAAAATGCTGTTCACACTTTATGGCTGAGCATCCTGGTCCAACGCTCAGTGCGTACTGTATCTCACTTTGATCTGCTCGGAAGGCAGCAGCAGCAAACAAACGAATCTCTTCAACACTGTAACTACACGCGACTCTGAAAAGTTTTCTCACAGGCAAGGCGCTGAAAGTTTCCATGTGGTTTCAAAGGGATGAATGTGAATTATTGAACTAGTATGTGACAGTCATTGTCCACAAAGGACTACTTAATAGGAGGCACTTTTTAAACTTTAATGCTTGAGAATGAGTTAAAGGCGTATGCGAGCTGACAGATAATAAACAAATAAGAGAGAGGAGAAAGGAAAGAGAAAAAAAAAAATCTTTGTCCAGTGTTTTTGAAAAAGATGGACTTTAAAGAATCTTGCAATTTGCACATCTTGAGTTTATCATTTGTGTGGTATTCCTGCAGTTTTTACCTAATAATGTTGTGGGGTGGGGGGGAGGGTGTCTGAAAGAGCATAAACAAATGTAGCAATGACTCACTAACCTGCCTGGCTCTAGGCCGTTTCATAGGGTTTCGTTCCTTTCCCAGTCCATTTTGGTCTCCGCCATATCTGCCACACAGAACCAGGTCCTACCGGGACAGCTCTGAGAATTTGTCTTCAGACTTGCTGAGAGGTTTCCATGAGAAACATTTCTATACGTAAGCAAGGCGTTTGTTTGTTGTTTTTATATATATATATATAAAAAAAAAAAACAAGCCGAATGTTATTTTTCCTCTTACGATCTTTTGTTCTTTTCATTGCCTCATTTCCCATTCGGACGACTAGATTCAGGAGTTTGGTACAGAAGGAGCTGCTCAGCTCCCCGTTAGGGCTGCACAGCCAGCCGCTCACACGAGATGCTTGGCGCCTGGGGCCAACGGAGGGAGGACCCCACTGCTTCCTGTGGGGTCTGGCTTGGGCCCTGCAAGGTTGAGCATTCACATCATTTCTTCAGTTGGTGAGTTCCCGCCTTCAGGTAGTTTTAAAGAAGCCGTACTGATGGGGAGGAAAGGAAATCAAAGTTCTGGATATTAGAAATACAGTATCTAAAGCAAACGAGCCTATTTAAAATCTCGTTTTCCCTCTCCCCTAAAATGCAATGCTTTTATTTAAGAAAAGAAAGATTAACCCCAAACCCCAGCTTCGACTCTGTTATGTGTTACTTGAAATTTAGCTCACACCAGAACTCATTGTTTTTATACCATATTCTGGGGTGCACCAAAAAGTTGAAATATGTTTAAAATAGCTTGAAACTATTCTTGAATTTCCTTGAATTTTATTAACCTCTCAGCGGGCTACAAACAGCTGAGCGGGTTTCTTCTCACAGTCACGCAGCTTAGGTAGTGCTTCTTAGTAATATTTCTGCTCAGAGAAGTTGCTTAATCTTCCATATACTCTGCTCAGGGCACTTGCAATTTATTGTTTCGTTTCGTTTCCTGTTTCGTTTTTGAGCTTCGATGGTAAAGGAATAGAAAGAATCGCAGATGTTACTTGGCATCCGTACCACTATTTCTGTCATTCACACGTACTGGGAAAAAATCTCCACGAGAACCACGCGCATTCACGATTGTGGTCGATGAGGAAGCGGGGGCTATTGAACTGACTGGATCTATTCAACTAACACTAAAAAAAAAACCAGAAAACTAATAAAAAAAAATGAAGTTTGGAGCAATAGGAATGTATTAGTTCTGTGCTTGTATTTCAGACTGAGGAATTCTGAAATAACTGGTTCTTTCCAAACAGCTGTCCCTTTCCGTGCTTTGGCTTTTGTAGGATGTGCAATACTTTACGTGCCAACGTAGACTCACCTGTGTGGTGTTAGCTAGATCTCATACCCTCTTCTGGTTTCCCCTTTCTGTTCTCTTGAATAGTTCCTTCCTTCCTTCCTTCTTTTCCTGCTAATAACTCCCTCCCCCTAGAAAGCAGCGAATCGAGGGCCGGGTGTCCCTGCACCCAGGGCTCACCGACCCCTTTTGTGTTCAGTGTGCGTGGAGTGAATCACGGGCCTGCCGCAGCCCCGTGTGTTTGAAATGCATGCCTCTGGCCTCCGCAGTGTAACGGGGAAAAAAAAAAAGATCCAGGAAGAAAAGCTGAACCCAAGCTCACCCCACAACCACCGAGAGAGGAGTTTGGGGGTTGTTATTTTTTGGGGGGGCGGGGAGGGGAGGGGAAGGGGGATTTTGCGCACATGAGACCCTGCTCCCAGCTGTGGGGTGCCTCTGGCTCCGGCCTCGCGCCCGCGGCACGGGCTGCAGTGGTTGTCTTTTTCTTTGGGTCTCTTTTTTCTTTTCTTCTCCTCCTTTTTGTAGCAGGCCTGTTTAGTTTACAATGAAATGCATACAATCACCGAGAAATTAGTCAGGGCAAAGAAAATAAAACGAGAACCTCTTTATAGGGATTTCTAAAAATATCTATCTGTCTATCTATCTATCTATCTATCTAATCTATCTATATATCTCTATATATAAAACGACTGTTCCTTATAGTGTTTAACTTAGGCATTGTTTCAGTTTGTCTGGGCCACATCGCGGGGAATTTGAGTTTGATGTCACTTACCTCAAGTCCTACAGCTGAAGCCCGAATTGGCCTTGCTGTTGACCTGCTTCACAGTTTTGTATGTCGCTGTTGGGATTTTTCCCCCGACGAACCCGACGTCGGGACGGGGACGCTCCTCTGACTCCTTCAGGTCCCTCGCCCCGCTGCCGCGTTCTTCGGCCGCTGTTTGTCATTTTCTCAGCGCTGGGGAAGTGACATCACTGCTCTCGTTTCCCTCAATCAAGGAACATTTAGAAATTTTTCACACCTTTTACTCAGGGATGGGGCTGGCATATGTGTGGTACACTGATGTGACCAGAAGCAGCACTTTTACTGCTCTGGAGTAGGGACGTTCAACGTCACCGACGAGTTTGGATTTCCCGCATCTCATGACTTTGACTTTGTAGATATCGCAATACAAAAGCAGCAGGCTCAGCGCGAACTGTCGCTGTTGGTTATCATGAAAATTCACTCCGTGCAGAGATTTGTTTCACTTTAAGCGTGTTGCCAATATTAAAACGGAAACGGCGAAATTCACTTCAGGCTTGATACTGCTAAAAACAAAAGCGAGGAGAGCGGATCCTCTCCGTTTTAAACACTAATAGTGTTACTTCAGAGAGGGGCTCTCGGCGCAGCGCCTGGGCCCTGGCCCTGCTGGCACTCAGACACACACTGACGGAGAGGTCAGCCCAGGGGCTCCATGCGGTGAAATGGGACATGCACTCGGACAGCTGGTTTACTTCTCTTCCCTCCCCGTCACCGCAGGTACCAGCAGAGCCTATCAGTGCTCTCTGGCCGGTGCTGATGTGAGAGCAGAGGGGTAAACATCTCCAGAGTGCAGTCAGCCATTTCCTTTCCTGGTTTACCCGCCTGGCCCCTCCGAAGTCCCAAAAATAAACAGAAAAATGAGGATCGGTCAGTGCAGATCTGCATACGCGTACCCACAGCCAGACAGAAGCGTTGGTTTGCACGTGAATCAATCCGTGTGAATTCCATAAGCCTACACGTCCACTTGCTTTCCTGTCCCAAGGACAGTTTGGTGTTTGTGTCAATAGGGAAATTCCAAACGAGTTGCACATCTCTACTCCAGAGTACAATTTCTTTTACATAGACGACCTCGCTTCAGATGTGTTACCTTTACTGATAGGATCTTTTCTTGTAGCACTATATCTTGTGGGAATATTTTTTGATGTAAACCTAATTTGAGAAGCTTATTAAAAATAGAAACTTTTTTTGAAGCACTCACATTGAGGAGTACAGGTAATGTTTTAAAAATTGCACAAAAGAAAAATGAATGTTGGAATGATTCATTCAGTGTTTGAAAAAGAGATGGCTCTGTTTGAACAGTGAGTTTCATACCTTGTTTGTAAAAAAAAAAAAAAAAAAAGTTTTTAAATACAAAAGCAGAGAAAGGTTGAAAGTTACATGTTTTTTGTATATAGAAATTGTCATGTCTAGATGATCTGATTTGTATTGGCTTTGGCCAGGAAGAATTATTACTTAAAAGGCTCTTAAAGAACAACTGTGCTTAATTTTCTGTTCGTACTACATGGGTCCCGTTTCTGGGGAGCGGAGTCGTGCTTCACACTGTTTATTCCTGTGCTGAAAACAAACCTTGGAGCAGCAGTTCTCGAGTGCGGCTGCCGGGCACTTCGGAGGGTGGCTCTGCTGTGGGATTTGGCTCGCGGTCCCTCCTGCCTGCACCGAGGGACAGGGCTGGTTTGGGGGAGGCCCGGCGATGCCCTCAGGATCCCGCCCGAAGCCTCTCGCTCCCGTTTTTTCCTCTCTCTGGGATGCTGTTCCACTTCTTTTCAGCACTTCCTGTTCCAGACGAAACCCAAAGAGTATAATCCTGAGCAAGAAGTGTTTATAACAAGGGATCCTAGCCCAGTACCAGCAGCAGGGCTGCGCCCAAGGCCACGTGGCCTTCGGGCCCCTTCCACTGCCCCCTCTCCCCGCTGCCGGGAGCAGACACACCAGACAGGTTTCCAGTGATGATCTCGGTTGCTTAAGAGACCGGTGTTTGTTTTCCAGAAGCCCAAAGGAGAGAATCCTGGAGCCATTTTTGAGGAGAGGGTCTCTTTCTAGTCCAAAGATTGAGCTGGGCAGCTGGCGGCCGGCGGTGGGGCGACGTCCCAGAGCGCTCCCATCCCCTGCAAGGCGGTGACCGCTGTGCCCAGGTGTCCCCGAACCAGGAGGAACGGCCCCAGTTGCGTTACAATGAAGTGCATTCAGCCAATAGGTAGTATTTATACAATAACAGTCTCTAAGGTTTCTGTAGTTTTGTTGTTTTTTTTTCTTGTCGTTATCTGAAAGGACTCAAGTCTTCCACTGAGGATTTTACGGAGGCTTCACCAAGGTTGTTTTTTTTTTCGTTTGCTTCTGTTTCGAGCGGTCAAAGCTCCTGCACCCTTCCCCTCGCCCATGCAGTAGGCATGCATTGGAAGCGCTGTGTGCAGCAGGCGTTAAGTCACGCGTTGAGCTGTCATTGCTGTACTGCTGGATTGCTGACGTGCAAAAACCCCAGGGCCGGACCCACGGCCTCGCGATGTCAGCCGAGGCGGGGATCCCCCGGGGCTTTGCTGTAAGAGCCGAGGACCCATTGCTCTCCCTATAAAAGCGGTCTGCAGAACTGTCTGAGCCGGCGGGTCGGTCTGGGAGCCGAGCGTGAGCGTGGGCTGGGGGCGGCTGCAGGTGGCTACATTGGCATCTCTGCCTGGCCGTTGGGCCGGCCTCTTCGCAAAGTTACTAATCTGTTAGGGCGTACATACAACCTCTCACGACAGTCAGCTAATGTTGAAACTCACTAATGTTATCTATTTGCTCTTTTTTTTTTTTTTTTTTTTTTGGAATAATATATTAACTTGTTGAACACTGTTCTTTTTGCAGTGTTAAAAAGAAGGGGGGGTGGGGGCAGGGTTACAGGCAGGGGTTTCCCAACCTTTTTCAGTTCGGGTGAGCTACTGAAAACCGTTTTGTACTAGCTATGTCACCGTGCTGGCAGCCTGGGGGCTGGGGCCGGCTGCAAAGGCGCTCGGCCAGGGGCCTTGCCGGGTGAGGGTCTGCCATTCTTCAGCATTTCTGAGGTCCTTTGTTTTTGTTCGTTTGGTTTTTTTCTTCTCATTTGGTATTACTCATGAGGGTTGTTGCAAATCACAC